CCCAGTTTGCTCCACGATGCAGTAGCTTCACAAAAACTTGATCAAGTTTCCAAACAATGCAAAAATTAATGTGCAGTATATAATTTAGTCAATAAGGTGTAATTTGATATTTAACTTGCGAAGAATAATGCCAAAACAGCTCTGATGCGTCAAGGCATATACTCCACAAGCCCTCTGAATGTGTCCTGTGGTATCTGGCACAAAGACATGAGCAGCAGATCCTTCAAGTCATGCAAGTTGTGAGGTGAGGCCTCCATGGATCGGATTTGTTGGTCCAGCACATCCCATAGATACTCAATTGGATTGAGATTTGGGAAAATGAACTTGTTGTCATGTTCCTCAAACCATTTCTGAACTATTTTTTGCAGTGTGGTACTTTATCCAGCTGAAAGAGGCCACTGCCATCAGAGAACACTGTTGCCGTGAAGGGTGTACGTTTTCAGCAAATATTTTAGGTAGGTTGTACATGTCAAAGTAACATCCACATGAATGGCAGGACTCAAGGATTCCCAGCAGAACATTGTCCAGAGCAAAACACTGCACTACAGAAGCTCTTCTAAGTGATCTGACCAGCCTTCACACCCATTACTTTGAGATAATTTAAAGGGGTCATATGATGCGATTTCAATTTTTCCTTTCTCTTTGGAGTGTTACAAGCTCTTGGTGCATAAAGAAGATCTGTAAAGTTGCAAACACTAAAGTCTCAAAACCAAAGAGATATTCTTTATAAAAAGCATTACATTACTTTGAGATACAGATACTTTAAATTTAAGATCAATTATTTAAATCATGGCCATCCACAAAACTATTGCCTGTAGTGACTAGTAAATATGCTTAGATCATATATTACAGCCAAAATCTCTATGCAACATTTTTGAAAAAAAAAAAAAAAAGCTATCTATGTTTAACGTCATTCTGTATTGCAGTATTAACATTAGTAAACTGGCTTTTCTCAGCTGACACACACAGGTTCAGCGCTGTATCAGTGGTATAGGCACTTTCCATGAAAAGGGTACAAAACCTCTTGCAAACGTTTCTTTTTCAACAGTTTCATCAAAATGGAGTGCTTCACCAAAAACCTCAAGATGTCAAACTACATATAATATAGTTTTCTTTTTAAAATCACAATTTCAAGGGAGCTGGCTCAGATACAGCTATTCGGTGTTTTTATGTAAATACATCTCCTGTGGTAATTTTATGGTAGATAGCAGTTTTTGTCTGATAGTTTCTATTCCACAGAACATGGGATTTCTGCCCTTTGATTGCTTTACAAAAACTAATGGGATACTAATGTGTACCCTATTCATGCAAAGTTCTCATTAATATTCACAAACTTTTGTCCATTATTTCTGCACAGTATAAAATACATAAAATGTTCAGTTACAACACCCAAATCATTTTTAAAAAGTCTGAAGAAAAACCGAGGAAAGAAGCTTTTTTTCTGGGATCCATAGAAAATGTCACTTAATAGATCCTCAAGCACTATACATTTTTTTTTTTTAATTTTAGTGTTTTGTTGAAAAAGAGCTCTTATAGTTCTGTCCTCATACTCAACAATTAGCAGGTTTGATGAGATGGCCATGTTGTGTTGAAATGCAACTTGTCAAGATCAATTTCTAGTCAAACTTTGTTTCTGAAAAGCTTCTATATAAATTGTACTAAGAGTTTAAAAACTGAAGCAGACTCTAGTCTGTAATGTACTTTATTTTATGGATCATTTTAAATTCTGACAAATTCTGATTATGACACAATATGTGAGCTTTTAAAAATGGAAAGGATCACGACAATAAGATGATATTATCCTAAGTAAACAAAAGTCTCTTTTCTCTGCTCTCTGAAAAAAGCCAACACCACCCAGTTTTTTGAGTGAACAGCCATTCTGTCTGAACAATGTAAAAATGTAACATAACCCATCTACAGCTACATTTCACTGAAATGAAACTGAACTGATTAAACCAAATCATTGGACCCAAACACCTACTACAGTATCTACAACTTTCCACCAGACATATATTAGAAGCATATTCAGCTGGAATCATCATCACAGAACATGCAGACTTGCTTTAAAGACTCAAGTAAACCTCCTCTGCCTGTATAAAGTACAAATGTTAAGTCTATATCATATATACCTATTGACCTATCAGGTGCAGCTCTTTTGTGTTCCATTACTCCCAGATGTTGTGCCATATTCTGTAACGACCTTAACGAATACAAGTCATACAGAATACATTATATAAACCCATAACTGCATAACTGGAGGTAATGAATATTGAATTTGTTTTCATTTCAACCCTGAAAGTTTTACATGATCAGACTAATTAAATTCTACTTGATTATTGTAATACTTAAAGTAGTGTTTGATCAGAATTCTGGCCTTATTATCTTGCAGGGCCATAAAGAGTCAAGTTGGACAGATCCATAGTGCAACCTGTACACCTAGTACTGGATCTGCCAGGCACTGGTGAATGTTGGGTTTTTAATGCTAAGTGTCTCTCGAATTTCAGTGTCCAAAAACCCGGCTCAATGAGCATGCTCCGGCCGGCCAATGTCCGCAGTGATGTTGATGAAGAGTGGTGCTCTGTGGACAGACAGAATCTTGTAGGAACAGGAGTTCAAACCATCAGTCTTCCATGCCTGATGAGTACGGCGTAGCAATTGCATCCTGTGTTGGGAAAAGTGAAAACTAAGCATCAGACGCCACACTGAAAATAAACATTTACATGTTAAGAACAACATTATCATATTCTTGCATTTTTAAAAGGGTCATGAATTGAGAAATCAAATTTTCCTTGATCTTTTGACATTTCCTTTATACTATAAAAGGTCATTGTACTACTATAAAAGCATCCTGGGCTGCGTTTCCCAAAAGCATCGTAAGCATAAGTTGATCGTAGCTCCATTGGTTTCAATGGGTCTTCGATGTACTTAAGCTTACGATGCTTTTGGGAAACTCAGCCCTGAACGTTTCAGAGCTCAAACCTTCCATGTTAGTCCAAAAACAGCTTTTATGGATACAGAAAATGTCAGATTTTGTCTTAGTGCTGTCAAACGATTAATTGCTTATTAATCGCATACAAAATAAAAGTTTTTGTTTACATAATATATGTGCGTGTACTGTGTATCTTTATTATGTATATACAAATACACACATACAATATATATTTAGAAAATATTTACACATATTTACATGCATATATTTATATTCATAAAATGTATGTTATATATAAATATATTTAATATATACACATAAATTTTTTTTTAAATATATACATGCATGTATGTGTAACTATGTACAGGGTACAACGGGGCTGGCTAAAAGCGCCCCGGGGTAAAAGGCGCCTTTGATATTATTTTCATCTAAACCACTAGATGGCACAAAAACTTGGCGTAGCACTTTCCAATACATCCGCTTTTCAAGATGCCCGTGTATATTTGTCTGATGCTTGACGCGATCGAGCGCAGCAGCATAAAGTTGATTTTGTGCTTACTTGATCTAACATTTTATGTTTTTTTAAATGTTAGATTTAAGTAGCAAATGAGAATCGCTAAAATTAATGCCTATATTTTGAGACAAAGGTCTTCTTTATGATTTTGTTTAAGATAATTAAAGCAACAGTTTTTAAATAACAAAAGAATATGTAAAAGTATGGTATTTGGGGTAAAAAGCGCCCCTGCTGTTGGGGCTAAAGGCGCACAGTAATTAACATGAGAATTAATAAATGGCTGACTTTTCCATTTGTTGACATGGCTTGGTTAGATTCAGATGGTAAATATCATATATTATGTTGGGTGTATTAGAGATAATCACCATGTTTAGAATGAAACCATCATATTAAAAACATGATATTAATCATAACATATAATAAAATATAATTTGTTGTTACTACTGTAAATATATATTCAATTATTGTTGGATCTCCTTCAATACTTTCAGAATCTTTACTTATTAAAATGATTTTGTTTCTGTATTTTAAAATACATTTTTTATATTAACATTTTAATGACAGTATATTTACTGAACAAAAATTATTTTATTTTTCAAAATAAGCAGAAAATAGTACAAACTTTGCTAAAGTGATTGTTTTGAACAAGTATTAACTTAAACATTATTTTACCCCGTGTGTGGGGTAAAAGGCCCCTCTTGCCACCTCATACATTTATAAGACTTTTAAACAAAATAAACAACTTGAATGATTTATTTTCACGCAAAATATGTTGCTCCATTAATGTTCAATACAACGTATATATTGTTTCTGCAATTATACATTTTAGGCACAGTGAATAGCAAATTTTTTTTAAGATGGGCCTTTAGCCCCATTGTACCCTACATAATAAATATACACAGCACACACACATATATTATGTAAACAAAATATTTTATTTTGGATGCGATTAATCGCAATTAATCATTTGACAGCACTAATTGTGTGACATTATGGAACGTTAGTGAGATGAGAAGGAGAAATCAATACAGCATAACTGGACTAAAAATAACAATACCTTCCCAAAGGTACCACACAATTTCATAAACGCGAATCAACACTTTTCACGATTAGTTAATCTAAACAGCTGTAATAGTAAAAACATAGCAAGTTTTCGAGAGAGCTCCAAATGTAATACTTATTTCGGTAACACTTTAGAATAAGGAACACATATTCACTATTATTTCAGAGTTTTCCCTTAATAAACTCATAATTTGCTTCTCATTAATAGTTAATAAGGTAGTTGTTAAATTTAGGTGTGGGGTAGGATTAAAGGATCTAAAATATGGTAATGAAAAATAAGGCATTCATATCCGCTTTATAAGTACCTATAAACAGCCAGTATGCTAGTAATATGCATGCTAATAAGCAACTATTTAATAGTAAGAACTGACCCTTAAAATAAAGTGTTACCCTTATTTCATATGCACAGATGTTAGCCAATCATAGCTGTGGGCGTTTACAGTGAAGTCTAACTCAAAGCACTTTTGGAGTTAATTCCCCTTTAACACTTAAGAATATAATTGCCGACTGTTATAATTGAGTAGCATCTTTACATATATACTTTGGAATTAAGCATCAATGCCCACACTATTGCACATGAGGATCTGTTTTAAAAAGTCTGGATTATGACAAACTAAAAGAAAACCTCTGAAACACTTAACTACATTTTCAGAGAGGTGTTTGTGTTGTACATCATAGAAGATAACGCTAGCATGTGTCAAATTTATTTTAGGAGAAAACTGGTTAATTTTGAGCTTCCCTATTTAAAATCCTCATTGTGTCAATGTCACAGAACGCAACATTTCCTCACACCTACAGTATATCGATGACTCCTCTCTGTGTCTCATAATTATTCATAAGAATGCATGTGCTCATTCTATAAGAACAAACTTTTCTTCATTATTCATGACATTTGTTAATTTCCTTTGACAGACACTTCAAACTGTGAGATCACATATAGTACGTGAGAAATGTGTTCATGTTTTTTTCAAGGTTTTATTTTTCTGCTTTGTGAGAGTTTCTGCATAACATAAATTCTCATTTATATGCCACCGAGTCTCTGACAGAAACGTGATTCATATATACCATGAGAGTAACCGGTCTTTACAACTCCTTGACATAAAAGCTGGAGAAGCAACAGCGTATTCATATATATTTTTGATGCAGAGTACAAATGCAAACAGCTGTGCATTTATTTATTTTCATTAATTAATACCTGTCATGAGATATGTAATTGTGGAATGTATGGTGAGATATAAATCCATGTATAATATCTTCATTTTAATGTGCATTTGTGGGAACCTCTGATGCTTTTAACTCAATGAGATTGAAACAAAACTGGCTGCATCAAAACAGTACTGTCACAACTTGCTTACATGTTCCAGGTCCAATCATGCACAAAGACTGGTTTACAAATGAATCCACGGTGAAACGCACTGAACAAACAAATAATGCTCTACTGATGCGATTAGGCACATAAGCTTCAACCATTATTTCCTAACATTGAGATGAAGACGAAAGAGATTCAAACTGCACAACAGCACATCTCAATCACCATCCACATACCAGTTAGTGAGCCAAAGTAGTGATGATGAGTATGGCGAGGGGGGCGTGGTTCAGCGAGGTCTGCAACAGGAGAGAGAGGCAGGAGACGAGCGGTGCGCAAGTAGGTTAAGTGCAAATGATAAACACCTAAGGAAGAAGAACGCCGCCGCCGTCATGCAGTCCCCGCCAGGATCGCCATTTGCTGAGGTCATCCAATCACTCGCGGGTCTTCACCAGGAACACCATCAGGCACTGCTGGGCATGAGGGACGATAGACCCTTCGGGATGGCACAACAGCTCCAGGACGCCTGTCGCAGATGGCTGATGGCCGAGAAAAGCGACATTGAGGAAGTCATTGATAAAGTGGTACTGGAGCAGTTCGTGGCTCGGCTGCCGAGGAAGACTGCCCAGTGGGTCCAGTGCCACCGCCCGACGTCGCTGAAACAGGCCATCCAACTGGCAGAGGACCAGATGGTGGCATGCCCCGGGGTCGGCGAACCACTGCGATCTGTCTCTCTCTCTCTCCCTTTCCCGGTGCTGCGGGGACCCAGGTCATTTTATTGATCAGTGATGGAGGTGGGGACACTGATCCGGGTCCCGGACGCCCCACAGGCTGCCCCCGATCAAGCTGGCCTGTACCAAATACCCGTGAGTATTAAGGGGGGTACGTATCAGGCTTTGGTGGATTCGGGATGTAACCAAACCTCAATTCATCAAAGCCTGATTCAGCCGTAGGCATTGGATAAGAGCCGCGTGGTTAAGGTTCGGTGCGTGCACGGGGATGTGGTGAACTACCCCTTAATGTCGATGGCTATTCAATTTCGGGGTCAAAAGCATAGGGTAGAGGTTGCAGTTAGCCCGCACCTCAGACATCCGTTAATTTTGGGAACAAATTGGCCAGATTTTAGTGTATTATTGGGGCATTTATGTGCGGATGTCTCTTGGGGGAAAGGAGAGTGGGGAAGGGGGGCGGTCGCACAGGTAGGAGAAGCTGAGCCGGGACCAATGGGAACTGAGCCATCTGTCTCTCTCTCTCTCCCTTCCCCTGTGTTTTCTCCCTCCAAACCTCTCCCTTTTCCCAGGTCCAGGGGGAATCTCCCCCCACGAGCCCCACCCCGGTGGAGGAGTGGTCCAGGGACGGAACCAACAGCTGCCCCGAGGGCGCCGCCCAGGGGGGCGGGGTCGACCTGTTGGCGTTGCGGGGACCCAGGTCATTTTATTGATCGGTGTCCAGTGATGGAGGTGGGGACACTGATCCGGGTCCCGGACGCTCCACAGGCTGCCCCCGAGCAAGCTGGCCTGTACCAAATACCCGTGAGTATTAAGGGGGGTACGTATCAGGCTTTGGTGGATTCGGGATGTAACCAAACCTCAATTCATCAAAGCCTGATTCAGCCGGAGGCATTGGATAAGAGCCGCGTGGTTAAGGTTCGGTGCGTGCACGGGGATGTGGTGAACTACCCCTTAATGTCGGTGGCTATTTCATTTCGGGGACAAAAGCATAGGGTAGAGGTTTCAGTTAGCCCGCACCTCAGACATTCGTTAATTTTGGGAACAAATTGGCCAGATTTTAGTGTATTGGGGCATTTATGTGCGGATGTCTCTTGGGGGAAAGGAGAGCGGGGAAGGGGGGCGGTCGCACAGGTGGACATTTGGGTCAAGCAGTAACACTTAATCGTCTAACGACCCGATTTTTCTGGCCGGGCATTCATGAGAACGTGCGCAGGTGGTGCGCGTCTTGTCGTGAATGTCAGCTGGTGAACCCACCGGCCACCCCAAAAGCACCATTGTGCCCTCTCCCTCTTATGCAGGTCCCCTTCGAAAGAACTGGCATGGACCTCATCGGGCCATTAGAACGATCTGCACGTGGGCATCGCTTTGCATTAGTCCTAGTGGATTATGCAACACGATACCCAGAGGCAGTGGTGCTCCGCAGCATTTCCGCGAAAAGTGTTTCATCTAATCTCCCGGGTGGGAATCCCAAAAGAGATTTTTATGGGGCAAACCATCATCTTAAAACTCGATTTAATTATTCAGAATTAGATTTTTTTACTGTATTCATCTAACCCAGTGGTTCTCAACCCGCGGCCCGTCACGAACTCAAATGCGGCCCACCGTGCTGAACACAATTTAAAAAAAAATACTTTCAGTTTTCCAATTCATTTTAGTTTTTACATTAATTTAAAAATGTACTAAATAAATATAAGCTATAGCCTATGTTTTTATGTAAAATAATTTTGTTTTTCATATATTATTTTCAGACATGAGCAGTACTCACATAGCCTAATTAACGTTACGCATTTAAAGTAACGACCAAGTGGCCAGCGGCTGAGCATGTTTGATCAATTTAGCCTTCTCAAATCATCACGACTTGACTAAAATAAAATCTATAGATATAAAACAGTTCAAGCATATAACAATGTTTAAACGTTAAAACCTAGATAAATGTGCGCTGTATCCAATAGTTTGCGCAGAGAGTGGAAGCTGAAGCGCGCTTTGCAGGACACAGAGACGCCAGCGCGATCACTTGCATTTATTTTCAGTGGATACACCGTCATTTTTGCTCATAAAGGTAAGAGTAATACATCATTCGGAACTGTAAAGGGTCTACTTTTATTTGTGTGCACTCACAATATCAACAAAACATTGTGCTTTTATAAAATAAAGAAA